GACAGGGCCAGAGATAGGGATAGGGACAGGAACAGGGTCAGGGGATACAGAGAGGCATAAGGGATAGAGATACGTATAGGGGAAACAGATAGAGGTAAGGACAGGGAAAAATGCAGGAATCGGGATGGGGATAGGGACAGGTACAGAAATAAGATCCTCTGACTCTATTTAGTTAATAAATAACAGCAGTGATCCTTTAAACTGGCACAGAAGGCTTGACTCAAGTGGATGCTCCAGTTCAGCCAAGTCAAGTCATGGTTGCAGCTGTTAGTAAGGGGTCTGAGTGTCACCAGGTCACCCTGCAACCACAGATGTGCTCCACATCAGGTGTGGACAGAAACACAACACCTTGATGTGCCTTCTCTTCCATGAACGTGTGACAAGGCTCCACGTCCTACAGACAGACCCCAGCTGATGCAGCACCAAGCCAGCTGCCAACTTTTTAAAAATAGAGTCAATTCAGCAGCATGAATGTATATGAAGTCATATGTATGTGAAGTTTCACCATGCAGCTGCAGTGTTTTCCATGCAGTAACGGGAGCTGTGCAGTTACATTTAGTGTTGTCTTGATGCATGGCCAGAGTAGGATTGGAAGCCAAAAACAGTGCTCAGGTTAATTTTATTGATGACAGTCAAAATTTAGGGCACCTTTTAGCAAGCAGTTAGCTGATGGAGTGCTAGGGACCAGAACTTGGGTGTATTTATGCTCCCACTCCTGCACTGATTGAACATTGATATTTTATTCAATCTGCACTAAAACACAAAGCTGAAACTCAGCCTAAATCATTAGTCAGTATTTAAAACACCACTGTGCTGCAGTTGTGCTTGGATGCAAATTTTAATAACTAAGTTCATCTCAAAACTAAAACTATTTAAAGACAGCAATATATACCAAAACCAACTTACATGAACTATAATTAAAACTGGTTTGAGATATAATCTGTTGGGATTCCAAAACAATGTACCCAATTTCCATTAAACTTCTCAGACATATTCTGTTCAAGCATAACACAAGTTCTTACACTAAAATAATTTGAAGATTCATGGTGAAATATTCTTAGCTTGACAAAATTAGGAGTAAAATCTAAACAGAAATTTTCTATTAACCTTACAATGAAATAAATGTTTTTGAAGAGCCTCATTTGCATTAGTAAGATTTGTTAAGGTAATGGGTTACACTTACAGCATTTGTTCAAGCTGGCACACAGCTTAAACAGGTGAAAGCAGGAAGTTTCACCCTTTCTCTCAAGATAATATCTAGGTCAGTTCATTTTCCATAGTGTATTTGATATCTGGATTTAAAATATCAAAGGGATTTTTAATTGTCAAACAATAAAATGGCTTAGCTGATGGGGGACTTTTAAAATTTAAATTCTACTCACATTTGTAAAGACAAATCAGTCAATCCTGCAGGTACTGATAAGTATGAAAATCTTTCAATATCGAAGCAATGTTACTTCTCATGTGTTCTGTACAAAGGTATTTTGCAGTGTTATACATAACAAAAGCAGGGCTTTGCCAAGTAATTTTATAAATTGTTGAAGTTTGTAACCTCTGGTAGCAGAGCAAAGTTTCTGTGAGTTCAGCCATTGACTAAAACTGATTAAACTAGTAAAGTATAATTTCTTTTTGTGTTAGTGGTTAATTCATTTACATTATGCTGGTTGGTTTGTTTTAATGCATATTCCATTGGTAGAGCAAAGAGCCTTTTTCTTACCATTATAAAATAGTCACTTGCTGACCAGAACAAAACTAGTGATTCCTGTAAGCCTGACTTCCTGCAAAGATGTGTGTGGGTTCATGAAGTAGACAATTTGACATTAACTGCAAGGGGTGAGGATTGTCATATCATCCTCCCCATAGCACTATGAGGTCAACAGAAAAAGTTTAGAAATTTGTTTCACCTGCCCACCATTCAAAAATTGGTCTATACATCTTCAATGCTACAATGATGGGCCACAAATTTTAATGTAAGTATAAATGATAAATTATAAACCATAATGAAGTGCATTGCTTTTCATTTATTTATGCTGTGAATACGTTTCCTAGGGAGATTGTGTAAAATGCATTAATCTGACAAATACATGTATGAGATAACATGCAGTCACCTAGGAAAATGCTAACAGCTTTATGCAATTTACTTGAGGATTATAATGGCAAAAATCATCCTGCTTGCAAGAGCTCAGTGGACTTCCATCTATTCCTCTGCATAAGGAACAGCTAGAGTTTAGCTGGGAAATGCAAAGTGAATTGGGGGGTGAATAGGATGACAGGGTTGCAGGTGGGTTTGCTTAAGCATAGAAATTTATGGTCAGTGCTAAACAAAAAAAAAAAGATAATTTTGAATGAAATGTAATGTCATGTGATTAAACACATTTTTCATTGTCTCCTGAAAAGATTGTCCTTGCTCCTCTGTGGGACTCCAGAGGTCCTCCAGAAGAAACTGCACCCCTTCTTTCTCCTAGAGTGGTGGAGAGAGACCATTCAGTGCCTCTAAAGGGACTTTCACAAACAAAACTACTCTGCAGTTGTACAGCAAAATATAAACATAGCTTTTTTGTTGCCAGAAGGTATTTAAGTTTCTGTATGATATTATTTGGATGAGAACAAAGAGGCCAATTTTACAAGAGCTTCCATTCATGTAAAGTGTAATGCATGTGTATCACTTCCACAGTCCTTGATAATAAAGTTACTTATGTGGACAAACATTTCTAAATCAGAACCTTTATCTACTAAAAGTTATTGCAGAAATTAATTGACAGATTGCTCTGTCTGATGAGATTACCTAAAAAGGCACTATACAGTATCAATAGAAGACCAATAAATAACACTTGTAACAATATTTCCTGCATACAGAGGCTCTGGACCAATTGTTGTATCAAGAACACAAGACACACAAAATCTTTTTCTTCCCATGCATCTAATTATAGATAGCCAGGAATTCAACATCTGGGAGTCTAATCTCACATTTCAAGTCCCCAGAAGAGCTGATGATGTTCTTCTATTATGAGATATTATAACTGATTCAGAACAAGACTTGCAAATTTACAGAGGAGAGCAAAGCACTAAATTCTTTTTGGTAATACTGTCTTTCATTACAGTTAACTTGGAAATTCACCCTTCCACAAACCATTGTGCAATATTCTCACTTTCCAACAGAAAGTGTTACAAAGACATGGAGGAATTAAGTACTGAAAGGCAACCAATGAACTAATGACGTTGCAAATTCCATGGACTTCAAATCCTCTTCCCAAACTGGCAAGGAAAGGTAAGATCATGAGGAGCTGAGAAAGAAGAGAATATCTGCTTGATATAGGCTGCCCTGGGAAAGTCCTTGAAGTGACTAGCACTGCACCACAGAACCTTGTCTTTGTACAAGCCACTGTCAACCTCTCTGCAAGAGCAGCGGCTCTTTCTACAAGTGGAAGCCAGTGGTAATAAAACTTGAGAACCAGCAAGGTAAGAAGAAAACTAGGGCAGAGCTTGAAGCCCCACTGAGGGGCTTAAGGCTATCCAATCTGTCCAAGATGTGTAGTTTGTATTTTCTGAATAGCTCCATCCTGCAATATATTTCTTCCCCTTTTAGGATCATCTCTCCACCTTAACTGAAAAGATGCTTTGGAAAACAAAAATTATTTTATGGAAATAACTTTTTCCTCTTCTCAAAAGGTTTGTCTGGAGACTAGAGACTAGTCAGTCATCTCGGTGAGACTGAGAGAAGTAGCCAGCTCTTGTCTCTGGTGGAAAAACGTTTTGGAGAGGCAAAATGAGTCAGGAAATTCATTAATTCCCTGTGATTATCAGAGGGAAGGGATAGGAAGAACAATGAAATGCTGAAG